GCCGGTCCGTGGCTTACAGGAGGAGGGACAGGCCTGGGGGCTGGGAGCCTGGACCGGACACGTGATGGTTCCGGCCGCGTCCGACTGCAGGGCAGTTGCTGGGCCTGCCTGGCCTGCACCTCACGCGCCCCCCCAACCTCCCACCTGCCAGGTGATCAAGGCCGGCGTCGAGACCACCTGCAAGTGCCACGGCGTGTCGGGCTCGTGCACGGTGCGGACCTGCTGGCGGCAGCTGGCGCCCTTCCACGAGGTGGGCAAACACCTGAAGCACAAGTATGAGACGGCGCTCAAAGTGGGCAGCACCACCAACGAGGCCACCGGTGAGGCGGGCGCCATCTCCCCGCCGCGGGGACGGGCCTCGGGGGCGGGCGGCAGCGACCCGCTGCCCCGCACCCCGGAGCTGGTGCACCTGGACGACTCGCCCAGCTTCTGCTTGGCCGGCCGCTTCTCCCCGGGCACGGCCGGCCGCAGGTGCCACCGCGAGAAGAACTGCGAGAGCATCTGCTGCGGCCGCGGCCACAACACGCAGAGCCGGGTGGTCACGAGGCCCTGCCAGTGCCAGGTGCGCTGGTGCTGCTACGTGGAGTGCAGGCAGTGCACGCAGCGCGAGGAGGTCTACACCTGCAAGGGCTGAGGGGCTCCGCCAGCGCGCGGCGGGGGCGGGGGCGGGGGCCGGCGCCGGTCTGGCCTGCCGACTGCCGTGCCCAGCCCTGGCCACCGCGTCTGACCCGAGAGCATGGCACCGCTGCTTTCTGAGCTGTCCCTGTCCCGAGCACGCCAGGCCCGGGTGGGGAGCAGCCCTTGGCGGGTGCGCCTCCACGACCACGCAGCCTCCGTGCGTGCGCGGCCTCCCCCGGGGCCCGGGCCTGGCCAGGGCTGTCCCGGCACCGGCACTGTCTTCGGAGAGTGAAACCACTAGGAGAGGACGGAGCCGCCTGGTCCCCGGGGCCCCAGCCGCCCACGTGCCCGGCCTCAGGGGACGGTGCCCTTCCTTCTCTGACGTCGAGCACTTCTCTTTGGAGTGAATATCAGTGACTTTTAAATTATTCTTATTATTATTTCAAGGAGTTCCTGGGCAGGCGGTCGAGCAAGGACCTGCGGGCCCGCGTGGACTTCCACAACAACCTCGTGGGCGTGAAGGCAAGTGGCGCCTGGTTGCCTCTGATCTGCTTTGTTGTTTGAAACCACTAAATCAAGATAGACGTGCTGTTGTTGTTGAAGAAATAAAGCGCGCTGTGTCTGGCTGCAGCCCTCGGGGCTCCTGGAAACCCGCTCCCCATGCCCGTGTGCCGGCCGAGCGGTGCCGCGTGGCGGTCCCTGCTCCGTGCCCGTGGGCACTCGCCCGATGTCCGGGTGTCCCGGTGTAGATTCTTGGCCAGGGGTGGCCGAAGGGGCTGCTCTGGTGAGGGTTCATGTCACGGGGAAGCCACGCTTTCTCCGTGTCGCTGGGGAGAGGCGGAGGGGGGGTGGCAGGTGCAGGTGGAGAGTCTTGGGCTGGGCTTTGGCAGCGGGAGGCCGTTCTTTTGGCCGTGCTGTTGTCTTTGCATGGGAGAGGTGTGTCTCACGTGTGCGTGTGCGTGTCCGGTGAGCGTGTGTGTGCGTGCTGTGCTGGCGTGGTCGGCGGGGCCGCGCCCTTCTCGGAGCACTGCTGTGCCGTGCCCTGCCGTGGCGGCACGAGCGGCAGCCTCTGGCCCCCGGAGCCTCCGGCGCTGCCTCCGTGGGTGGGTGTCTCGGTGGGGCTGGTGCACGGCAGGTGCGGATGCAGGAACTACTGAGGGAGCAGGTTCCTCCAGGAGGCTGGGGACCGTGTTTGAAGAAAACCTGTTTATGTGGATGTGGGTCTGTGTCCCTGTGTTGAGGTGCGCATAGCGGAGCTTGCTCTCCTGTGGTTCAGGGGAGGCCGCATGCGGAGAGGGCAGTCCCAAGGCGGGGCCCCCAGCGCCCGCGTCCCCAGACAGGAATGTAGGTGGCCGTGTGCGGTGGCCGTCGGTGGGAGGGGACGGACGGTTTGTCCCTCGGTCTGACGCACGTCTGGACGGGAGGCAGGGCGGCACACCCCTGCCCTCCCCGAGGGCTCGCACCGCTGGCCCCGGCCACAGGCCCGGCCGCGCTCACGACAAGACTGTTGCTCAGTCACTATCGGCTCTGTGGAAGGGCGTCGAGTCAGAGGAAGGATATTTTTTTATTGAATACCACATTTAGCTCTATGTCATAAATATTCAGAAAAGTATTTTTTTAAACAAGGCAGACCGAGAGTGTCTGCCGGCTGGCTGTCTCTGTACAGACGCGTGTCAGGACGTCTCGCCGGAGCCTCCCGTCGGACGTGCTTCTCTCCGCGGCGGAGCGGAAGGGAGCGGGGCGCAGGGGCCACGCGCGGACCCGGCCTGCCGCTGGCCAGGTGCGGGCGGGGTGGGGCGGGCGGGAGAAGGGCCCCCTCTGTGTGTTTGGAGTCTTGTGCGAGCCGATTGATTTCTCTACCTCATCTGTGTAGCGCGTAGGTGTATACCCGAGTGACTGTGGAGAATGTATTTATTTAACAGCTTTGTATAACAGAACCGAAACAAGTGAAACACTAAATAAATGTATTTTAAATTATAGCCCCATCTCAGTCTGCTGCCTTCGCGGGGGGCCTGTGGGCCTGGGAGGATGGAGAGGAGGGTCTGGGAGGAGGGGGCGAGGAGAGCCCAGGAAGGAGGAGCCGGGAGGAGGGCCCTGGGGAAAAGGAGGTTCGGGAAGGAGGACCCCGGGAGGGGAGGGCCCTAGGGAGGGGAGGGTTGGGGGAGGAGGCCCCTCCCCCAGCCGTGTTGGGAGCCCTTGGCAGGCAGGTGTCCCTAAGCTTGGCGGTGGCCCAGCACACCCTGGTCTCTCCGTCTCCTGTGTTCGGGCAGGGCGAGCGTGGGCTCTGCAGGGACCCCCCCGTCCAGTCCTCTGCCCCTCGCCGGGCACCTGCAGCCTTCCCACAGCACAGGGTCCCCATGGCCCTGCCGTCCTCCTGCCCTGAGCCTGGGGTGCTCTGGGCACGGCCTGCCTCTCCCCTCCCTGGCTCTGGCTGCCCCCCCACTCACCTCCATCTGAGCCCTCCTTGAGGGTCTCCCACCCCTCGCTGGCCCCTTCCAGACCCCCGCGGTGCCTCTCCTGTCACCTCTGTCCAGTCTGTGTTCTTGGACCCCCAGGGGCCGCCCAGGCCACAGCGCTAGGGCACGGGCTGTATGCAGAGAAAGGTGGGGTTACCTGCCTGGTGGGAACACAGCTTCCTTTCCAGGCCGGGGACAGGGCCGCTAAGGAGGGGCTGGGGGAGGGGGCTCCTGGTGTCAGCCCCTCCCCCGCAGCCTCTGGCCTGGGCTGGGTGAGGCCAGTGGGGCAGTTCTGCCAGGCCCCTCCAGTGGGCACAGGCCTCCTCCTGGGGCCCTGGCTGCTCCTGAGGGCCAGCGGGGGGCTCAGGCCTCTGCGCCCAGGCGGGAGGGGCTGCGCGCTGCCTGGGCTGGGAGCGGGTGGCCTGAATGGAGCCATTCTTCCTGGGTGACGGCGGCCGAAGCTGTAGCTGAACTGGATCCAGGTGCGGGCGCAGGCGAGGGCCAGGCTCCGGAGGAGAGAAGTCTCGGGCTGGGCAGGACCTGCCGGGCAGCCAGTGCCTCCCACCAGGGCCCGCAGAGCCCGCTGCACCCGGGTGCGGCTCTCCCTGGACACCTGGGTCTTCTCGCCTTGGCCCTGAGTCCCAGGCGGACGCTCTGTGCGCCTGGCCCATCTTCTGCGATCCGTGTGCGTGCGTGTGCTGTGTGTGTGCGTGTGCATGTGAGGTTGGGTCTGTGCGTCTCGTGTCTGCATATGTGTGCGTGTGTGTGCACAAGGCTGTGTGCATGCACCTGTCTGCGTGTGTGTGCAGGCACGTGTGTGTCCGTGTGTGCGTTCAAGTGTGTGCATGCGTGTGTGTGGCTGGGTCCACACATGGGTGTCCATGTATGTGCCTGTGTGTGCATGAATATGTGCCATGTCTGTGTCCACAAGTGTCCATGTTTGCATGCATTCCGGTATGTGCATGCGTGCATGTGTGGCCAAGTTGTGTGTCCGTGTAGTGCGTGTGTCTGTGCGTGCATGTGCGTGCGCGAGCACTGTGGGGACGGGGCGCTGAGCTGCAGCTCATCTCCTCTCCAGCCACGCAGTAGGCGAGGAACTACCCTGTCCAGCCACACCCACAGGTGGGCAGGGACGCCCTGGAACTGCCAGGTGCTTCCCCGTCCCCTCCGCGGGGCAGTCCCCAGGGACAGGGCGTCTGTCTCCACTGGCTGGCCGGGGTAAGCAGTGGCCACCAGGCTGCTGCTCCCAGCTGAGCAGTCTCAGGTGCCACACGCAGGTGGGAGGGAGACAGGCCCAGGACACACAGGTGGCCGAGCCAGGCTGGCGGGGCCAGGCAGCTCCTGGGCCCTGCTGGGTGTTGGCAGGCATCTGGCCGCCCTCCAGGCCGGCGGCAGGAGATGGCTGGGGGATTAGGTAAGAGGCGCAGTTAGGTAATGTCTCAGAAGGGCCCAGCCAGTGCAGCGGGAAGGTATGGGGCTGGGTCCGCCTGCCCGGCCTCGCTGACTTCAGAGATGGAGGATGGAGGGGAGAGGAGGAGGGGGAGGGGAGGGGAGGAGAAGGCAGGAGAGGGAGGAGGGAGAGAGGGAAGAGTAGGACAGGGAAGAGGAGATGGGGATGAGGTGAGAGGGGAGGAAGGGAGAGAGGAGAAGGAGGAGGGGGAGGAGAGGAAGGATGGGGAGGAGGAGGAGGATAGGGAGGATGGGGAGGAGGACAGGAGAAGGAGGAGAGGGAGGAACAGGACAGGAGGAGGAGGAGGAGGAGGGAGGGAGGGAAGAGTCGGGCTGGCCCTGGGGCCTGGCTGCTCCTGCTGTGTTCCAGGCCCTGGCCACCAGTGGGGACCCAGGAGGGCGCCCTGGCTGCCCATGGGGCCAGCCCAGCTGCACACGGCAGGCGCTCAGGGGGCAGCCCCCAGGCCGCCAGGGTGGCAGAGGCAGTGCCCAGGAGGGCCCACGGTGGGGCAACTGGAGGCCGTGGGCGGGTGGGGGCCCCGCACCCTCACTCTTGCCTCCGCACCCCTGGCCCTGGCTGCCGCGGCCTCTCCCCAGCCCAGCACTGGCCTCTGTGCTCTGAGCCCACAGGAGCAGGCCGTGGGGGAGCTGCCACCTCCTGAGAGGTGCCTGGGTCAGCCAGGCCAGGGAGGAGCCGGTGGCCTGGGGTCCCAGCCACTCGGGGAGGCTGCGTGAGAGCCCTGGGCTGGGGCCGAGAGACCTGGCCTTGCGCGGCGCTGCCTCTGTGGCTCAGGGCCAGGGTCTCCCATGGCGGCCGGCCGGGCAGGTGGAGGGGCCGGCGCGGGGGGCCTGGCTGGGCAGCTGTGCGGGATGGGCCGTGGCAGGAGAGGAGGAGGGTCTAGCAGGTTGCCGGGGAGACAAGAGCAAACAAATACTGCCCCCTGCAAGCCTACAGGGGGGTCCCTGTGGCGATGACCTCATCTGCCCACTCAACCCTGCTCCTAAGGCCAGGTTGGGGGCGGGGGTCCCGGCTGGCTTTTGGGGGGAGCTGTGTTTGTGTTGGGCCCGCGTCCATGGAGACAGCTGGTGGGGCAGAGACAGCTCCTGCTGCG